GGGTCTAAATGGGAAATTTTAGCCTAACAGGTTCTTAAAATCTATGTTCTTATACGCGGGTTTTAACTGTACTGCAAATATTTAGCGCGCGCCTGGTCCGGACTAGCTTGATGTACGATCAATTTTGCAGGCTGTACAGGGTATCAGTGAAGGTAAATTATTCCGTTATATTTTCGTGTTAAAGATAGCATATACCGCATTATGATTGCATACACTTGTATAGCATTAACCAATTTCTGATTATATCGACTGGACAAACAGAAACAAGGACCCCCCTTCAAATGTATCAATATCCCCAGTTATCTATCTAACCAGGTATATGGCTCTTAGAATGATAAAAACTGAAAATGACACACCTCCAATGATAGCAATCATTTTGTTGATTGCAGAGTCAGGAGGAGTGCAGGAAATAGAGACGGACGCTAAAGGGGAATGTAGCCTAGCAGACGAATCGGCGTTGGAATTAGGCAACATTGGTATACAGGTAAATCAACTAAATCTGTGGGGATACTTATGTGTTTCAAACAGATGCAAATAACGAAACGTGGTAATCTACAATAATTCGACATCGCATTTTTATTGAGCTTTACATGAGCACATGAATAGTTTCTTTTCATTTCTATGTACGCAGCTAGAAACTGAAACGCCTACATTTTGTACAGGTCGAGAAATCGTTCTCTGACGCGCGAGATATAGAGTTTGCCGTGAAAGACGGGCAGATCTACCTGCTGCAAGCTCGACCAATCACGTCCCTCAACATGGAGTCAGAATACGAGCTGATGCATGAGCAGGATTCACAGCTGTTAATTGATGATGAACTGCATACACACGCGAATACCGGGTAAATAGTTTTAAAGTCGCTTGGACTTGTATTCCTCTTGCCACTGCCTTTCTTCAACTCTAGTACATAGTCCTTCTATTACTACCAATACTTCTAGAATAACCCTTTCTAGAAACTATTGTTCTTTAATGCTGAGAGTACAAGTACCACGCTAACGAGATCTCTCAGCTATTCCCAGTGTCAGTGACAATTCTACTACGTGCCAAACCTGATATCGAAAAAAATCATTATTGTCGTTTGACGAAAGGGTCACCCGTCCGCGAATTTTTTTTCCCAAACGGTATAACATAGCGAAGAATTTAGCGCCTTCTGATTGGCTGCTTCGATTTGCTTTGCCTTTGACAAGAGAACAAACGCCCATTTGTAAATGTTTGTTTGTGTTTATGACCGCTAGATAAGTACGTTTTCTGATGTATTTTCCATGAAAAACGTATCTTTTCCTTATTAATAAACATATAATATCACTATAATTGCAATTCTTTCTGCAAATGTGTTATTTTCATCTCAATCTTAAGTTATGAGAGCCAGAGAGGGTCTGGGCTCTCGTAATATTACATACGTACGTATGTACACGCACTCGTAGTGCTTCGTCGCAGGAGGAAGGAGCGAAGGGCTACGACAGTAGGCCCTACTACTAGAGCTACGACGGTACTATAGTACTAGGGCTACAACAGTGCTAGAGCTATACGTACTCGTACTCGTTGCATTACGCTAGTAGTAGTATAGTAGATCGTAGTATAAGTAACTAGTGTTTAACGCCCTGAGGTCAGCTGAAACGTAAAACTAATGCGCCACGTAGGCCAATAACCATAAACAGAAACTCGGCAGCCTATAATATAGAGCTGTAGATCCTCTGCATTAACTTAAGATTAAGATGAAATAACACATTTGCACAAAGAATTGCAAATTATAAGTAATATTATATATGTTAATAGATATGAGTAAATATGTGTCTTTCTATGAATAAATACATGCTAGAAAACTTATACTTACTAGGGCGGTCATAACCAACACACACAAACATTTCAAAAACGGCGTTTGTTGCTCTTGTCTCGAAGGGTTTTGCTTCAAGTCAAAGCAAATCAGTCAGAAATGGCATGATATTTGGGTTTAATTTACTCAACGCCATGTTGTTTTAATCAAAACATACTATAAACTCTTTTAACCTAACTTACAGAAAGTTCGGGAAAGTTTTTGTAGATAATTGGGGATTTTGCTACAAGTCATAGGGCTGACATCCTTGCAAATTCGCAGCCAATCAGAAGGCGGCCTAAATCTTGCGCTATGTTATACGTTGGGAAAAAAATTGTCGGCCAACCCGTCGCGCGATTTTTATTTCCCAAACGGTATAACATAGGAAGTGATTTAGGCGCTTCTGATTAGCTGGTAATTTTGCAAGATGTCAGCCTCCATCGCACTTTGTAGCGCGAAAATCCGCCATTATCGACGCAAAAATTTTTCCGATACTTTCTGTAGAGTTACGGTTAAGCGTAGTTTTTAGTAACTGTTTTCTCTTTAAAACAACTCATGGGTTTGAGTAAATTATCAAATATCGATGCTGTTTCTTGACTGATTTGCTTTGAACTGAACAGAAAATCTTTCAACGAACAAGAGAAAACAAACGCCGGTTAACTGTAAGTATAATTTTCTGATGTATTTTCCATGAAGACACCTATTTTTAACTCATTATTAAACATCACTACATACTCTACTATACATTGCAATTCTTTGTGGCAAATGTGTTATTTCATCTTATCTGAGAGGTGCTAGGCTTATCAATTATAGGTCGACTTTCTGGTTCTTTATTGTTGCGTGCGCGGTGGTCCGATTAGCTCTTACGTTTTCAGCTGAGCTCAGGTTAAGACACTAGGCTACTACTACGCGACTATTTATTTACTACCGTACTAGTATCTACTCACTAGCGTCAACGAGTACGAGTACGTATAGGTCAAGTACTGTCCGTAGCGCCTAGTACTATAGTACCGTCGTAGCTAGTAGTACTGTCGTTAGTGCCCTTCGGCTCGCTCCTCCTGCGACGGAAGCACTCACGAGTGGTGTACATTACGACGTTAGCGTATGTAATATTATCGGAGGAGGAGGCCAGACCCTCTGCATAATGCATGAAGATGAAAAAACAGGATTGAGACTAGAAAAAACACATTTGCAGAAAGAAATGATTGGCAATTATAGTGACTATTATATTGTTATACATTATATGAGGAAAAGATACGTTTTTCCATGGAAAATACATCAAGAAAACGTCACTTATCTATCGTCATAACACCAAACAAACATTTACAATGGGCGTTTGTTCATCTGTCACAAGGCAAAGCAAATCGAGCAGCCAATGCAGAGGCGTCTAAATTCCTTCTGCTATGTTATCAGCCGTTTGGAAAAAAAAATTTCGCGCACGCGCGTCCTCTTATTTTTACGGAATTTTGTTTTGCGCTTAGCATATATAATATAGCTTTCGTCTTCGTTCATTAACAGTCTATTGTCGTTGTATGAACCGCAGGGAGATGATGCACAGGCGATGACACCTCTCAGCACTAGAACGGCACATTCGTCACTAACCTCGCGGATGGGACAGGTGGTTATTCGATTCTATTTGCAGCTAAAAGCAGCGCAGGCAGCAGCAGGCAGAGACACTAGACTAGAATAGAGAAGCACTGATTACGAGAACAATTTAATATGTCGGAAACCACGCACGACCATCGTCGTTATTTCTATGGTCTGCCTATGCATAACCCAAGTATGTAAGACGTGTAGAACGCTGTATTATAAGCATGAGTCATGATTGCCGTACATAGATCAACGCTAGGTAATAAAACGATGAGTCATGATTGCGTAGCATAGATCATACAACTAGGTATACAATGAGTATGATATAGTGCGTATACTAGATCAACGCTAGGCAATAAACGATGAGTCGTGATATTAGTGCGTATATAGATGCAACACTGAGGTAGTAAAACGGATGAGTCATGATTGGCGTAATATAGATCAACATAAAGCGTAAAACGATGAAGTCATGAATATACGTGGCGTATATAGATCAGCACTAGGCTATAAACAATGAGTCATGATATAGTGAGGTATATAGATCAACGCATAGGTAATAAACATGAGTCATGATTGCGTAACATAGATTAGCGCTAGTATCAACAATGAGTCATGATTATAGTGCGTACCATTAGATCAACGGCCTAGTATAAACAATGACGTCATGATATAGTGCGTATTATAGATTCAACACAGCGTAATAAAACATGAGTCATGATTGGCGTAAGCATAGATTAGCGCTAGTATTAAACAATCGAGTGCGTGATATACGTGCGTATATAGATACACACTAGGTATAAACGACTGAAGTCATGAGTTGCGTATATCAGATCAAACACTAGGTATGAACGATGATCATGATATTATGCGTATATAGATGCCAACACTAAGGTATAAACCATGAGTCATAGATATAAGTGCTATATGATCAGGTTCCATTCGTCGAGCTCCGAGCAGCGTCCGCACACGTTGACAACATTAGCCGTTTTTTTTTCTGAGTTAACCAGTGAAACGAAACTGTGAGTGAGGCCCGGTGAGAAATGAATGCCGCAACGAAGCTGGACAGACGCAAACGCGCACGGCCAAACTCACGTCGGTCATACTCAAGTACACGCACATACGTATATTAGGTAGATACACACGCATGCAGGCCACGCGTACATAGACAGACAGCCAGGCACCACATATACCGCTGAGATGAGAAGTACTGCTTAAGTTTTTAAAAAGAAGATTGAACGCATCTCGTGTAGTCAGATTCCGTGAGAAGATTATCGCGATGATTAATCACTTGTTATTAAAATTATTAAATTATATAACTACTGCAAAACGGTATATGCCAAGATGTATCGAAAATTAACATGCGTATATTTGAGCGTATTATCTGTAATGTATGATTTTCTAGATCATGCGGCTGGCATCGGAAATTATATCAGGATACGTACATGGACGCGTTCCGGATCAATCGTTCTGCAATCATTTCTTTCATCAACGATGTACAGCGTATAAGTATGGCAATAACCATTAGCTCGGATCTAGCACCAAAAAAAACTTAGCAAAACTAAGACAGATAGTAGCAAAACCGAGACGATTTAGCTTGAAAAAATATTTAACGATATGTTCGCTGGTGTCGCTTAGTACAGAGTATTTTCACATCTACATATTAGCAACAATACGTCAACAAGTATAAGGAACAGAATGTATTTCTCATATTAATTATTCGGTGACAGATTTTCCGAAGGTGCAAAAAATTATAGAATTATCAGATATTGTTTATCTGCTCTTCCGGCAATGATGAATGTTCATTTCTATCCACGCTCAAATAATTGTATTATTAAATATTTACGGATAATTTGATAAACTATAGAACTACTCCACGGCCCTGACAATTCATAGCTCGAAATTCGTCTTTAAAAAAAAATAAAAGGAATTTAGAAATTCTAAAGAATTAATTTGTTTTATAGGGAATGTACTACGCGAATGAGTACACAATGGGATCGGATACAAAAGGCATGAAGAATACTATGGATATTTTACTGTTTGGAAGCTGCATAGGAGACGAATACTTGGAAGGAATTCACAAGCGCTACCGAACCACCTATATCCCGTGGTACAGAAAGTTCTTAGGAGTTCTCTGTTTGTATACAGTAAGTATACCTACACATCCGGTTCTTGGTTTTGCTTATACGTTTACTTTGTTTGTTTACTTTACGATTTACTTAAATTTTATTAAACGGTTTATTTACTTATTATTTTTTACGTTTATCTTTGCTATGTTAGCGCGTCAGTTATGTATTGTATACCTTGCGTGCTTATCGGCTGTGACCTTTGTTACTAGGAATCATTCAGCACTAAGCGCAACCTGAAGCGAAGTAACACCATTGTTAGAAGCATCAGCACGGACTTCAACACCACTGACCCACTCACGTTACATCGCCAAATTGAGGACTTATTAAGGATAAGTTCTGGGGTGCGTACGTACTAGGATTGATCGAATGTTATTACACAGTGAAAGGGCTATAGTTATACATCATATATCTCGACACGCTTTTTCCATCTTTTTTCCTCTCCGTCACCATCGCATTAATTTCTTTTCAGCAATTGAATATTAATTACTTTATTTATAGTAGGCCCCCTATATACTTGGAACTGTACGAAATTATCCATCTTTCTAACTGTTAATGAAGATTTCAATATGTTAATTACAGGCCTGGTACAGCCACATTCAAGCCTCGAATGCATCTAACATAGCGAGTCATATTGTCACACAAGTTGTGAAGAAGAAAGACTCAGGTACACTATCGGCACAGTACTACACTCAGGATCATCTTTATTTATGCGTTGTTAAACGTCTGTCCTGAGTCGACTTCAATAATAACCATAATAATTATCTGCTTAACTCAGCTTGTCGCAAAACCGTGATTCCCCGTAGGGGAAAGTGGGGTAAAATGGCCACTTTAACTTTGGATGGAGAAAATTCACAGATTAAACAGGGAAAAAGACAAAACAAATATATAAATTAAAAACCCTTTGTATTACAAACACAACTGAACAATAAATGTAACTCTCTACTTAAATGACTTTA